GTTTAGTGCGGGCATGTGCCTCTGTGTGTGAGGGGAATTCCCTGCCGAAGATTGAGAGAATTATCTCCTGACTCCGTGACGCGAAAAAACACGAACCAAAAAGCAGAAAAAAAACAATGAAAAGAGTAAGATAGAAGGAGAGAGTATGTGAAGTTGCCCCCTCCATTCATGCCAAAAAAAAACACATGGAATGAAGAAAAGTGAAACTTTAAAAAAAAATATTTTCTCCCGTCTGCGTTTATATATATAAATGTATATAATATCCCTTTAAGATTCAGCCACCTTCTGCTCTTGTTCCGTGATGGCCATCGGAGAAAAAAATTTGTCATATCAGAAAAATATTGGGACTGTTTCTATTCCTTTTACCTTGTTTTTTTTTTTTACTATTCCCTCTCCAACTGTTTTTCTTTCTGGGCCCAGTCAGAGACTGCCTTAACCAGGGATAGGAACTCGTTACCCTGCTCCTCGCGCACACTGCGCTCGGGAGACCCTTTCTCACGCGTGGCCGTGCGAGGAATGATATCTGAGAGAGACTGGCGCGTGGTGGGCACGTACCGTTGGCGGTCCGTCTCTCAGCTGCATGCAAATTCAGAGGAAGCATGCCTGTACGATGATGCAAGGCCGCTGGAGAGTATTCCCGTCATTTTCTACGACACCAGACAGGAGGACGGGGAAATCCTGGCCCCACGCTACGTCGCCAGAAAAGTTTCCGTGCCACAAGGCTCATCCCAAAAAGTAAAGGTTGTTTCCGGGTGTGCTCGGCCGCAGGACACGACGCCGGTGGTGCCCCTAGACCCATGCCTCAACTGTGGAGCGGCTGCCACAGCCTCTGGCTCTCGTCGTCGCCCGGAAAAGTCCCCACTGGTGGTGGGGACAACTCTTCCGCTGCCGCTGCATACCATCTTTTTCTTGCCGATCACTCTGCTATTGGCGGATATTGCGGTGACGGCCGCCGGCATGACGAGGACAACTACAGGCGCCCCAGTGACTGTTGTTTGCTGCCTTGTAGCACTTGGCCCTGATGTCATTGCTATTGCCCTCATACTGAAACGCAACAGCAGTTTCACATTTTTAGCCGTTCATGTGGTGCTGTGGCCTTGTTTTGTGTTTCTCTTTCTCTTACCGTTTCTCTCGATGCTCTTCATTATACATGTCATCATCTCTGTTATTTTGCTACTTTTCATTGTGCGCTTCCGCCTGAGCACGTACACCACATTTTTCACTTTTCAGTGAGTCCTGCGGCTGGTGTGTGGTGCGGCGCCGGGGAAGTCGCCGCGGGGAACAGCAACACACACTCGTACAAAGCCAGGGACGCTAGCGAAATGGGAGGGCTGACTGACGCGTTGGGAGGAAACCAAAAAACGAAAAAAACAACAACAACGATGAAACCGAATGCGAGACACCGACAAACATCGGCGGTACAATGAATCGACGCATGTTTGAAGCTGAAGCGACAGCAACAGTAGAGACACAAAACAACAACTCTGGGCGTCTCCCCCACCATCCCCACCAGCAGCAAACAACTTTCTTTTTGATACTTTATCTCTTTTCTAATCGTTGCCCCCGTACGTTTTTTTTTTTTTCTAGTTTTCGACTTTTTTTGCTGTCTTCTGTCGCATCGATCAATCAAGGCGTCAACGTGACAGGGCACCAGGAAGTATACCGTGTGCGCGGGGGTGAGAGAGCGACCGAGGGAGAGTCGCAGTCATGCAAAAGGAGGCTGACAGGGCGCGAAAGAGAAAAGACGACGTTCGCGAGGAGGATGAGGTTGGCACCTTTTTCTCGGCTGACGGCAGTGTGTATGAGGGGAAGGTGAGCCGGCGTGAGATTCCTGTGGAATTTCCGCCGGGAATGCCGATGCCGATCCTTTCGTCCAGTTTGCGCGTCCAGCTGCCGCCGGAGCTGATGCCCCAGGTCATTCCAATTCAAAATGGGAAGGGAGTGTTTAGGGACGCGGGTGGCGCGATCTACGAAGGTAGCTGGGCTGAGGGGGCCATGTGCGGGGAGGGTGCGCTGCGGTTTCCGAGCGGGGCCACCTACACCGGTGGGATGCGGGGGAATAAGTTTTATGGGACCGGCACGTATTACTGGCCTGATGGCTCTCGCTACGAAGGGCAGTGGGAAAACAATAAGATGCACGGGTTTGGCACCTACGTTGACGCTCAGGGAGGACGTTGGACGGGTAAGTTCTACCACGGCTGTGGTATTGGCTTATTGGCCGAAATCCACCTGTGAAAGCCCCACTGGTTGCCGGTGAAACTGCCCATACTGGGGGCATGGACGGGGAATTGCCCCGCCTGCTTGTTGACTGCGGCAGTTCTCACGGAGAGGGATAGGCGTGGCGTGTTGAGCGTGGCAGGAGCAAAGGATGTACACTAGAGACTCTTCCCTTTCTTGCTTTTTGTTTTTCTTTGCTTGTTGGTGTTCTTGCGTTCTGCTGTGAGTGCCCTGAAGGATGCGCGCACGCCGAAGGAGGGGGAATGAAAGAAAAAAAAACAAAAGCAAAACAAAACAAGAAAAGAAGGAAGCAGTAGGGCGGTGTTGTTGACGGGGAGACATGTGACGACGATGACAATGTGCATTTTGTTTCTTATTATTGTTATTACTATTTCCTAACCTTGTCCCTCCAGCCTCGTCCAAAGTAATGATAATGCTTTTTTGTGCTTTCTTTTTTCTTCTTTGGGGGGTTTGCTGTAGACATGGCGGAGGAATTAAACGTGAGTGAGCTTGCAGACCTTCTTGGGGATGAGGAGCTGCTTGACGTGACGCCGCCGCCGCCAGACGCACCACCGCCAGGGGAGGGCAAAGGCGCGGAGTTGGACGGCGAGGATCCCGGCAGCAGGAAAAGGCGCCTGAAGAAGAGCAAGCGGCCGCGTCGCGCCCGCGAGCGCAGCAAGCCGTCAGACACGGAGGAACAGGAGGAAAGTGACGAGGATCCGGAGGAGACGCCGCGGAAGCGCTCCAAGTACGTCATTGACGCCGCAGAGAGCGGCGGCTCCGAGTCGGAGGGCGACGACTTTATTGCGGGAAGCGACGAGGAGGACGGCGACGACGCCTACCGTGGCGAGCTGCCGACGTACGAGCCGCGCAAGACCCACATCTTCCGCGAGGGGGAGGAAAACATGACAAGCGAGGAGCTGGCACGCGCCATCGAGGAGCGCCACCGCGCGAGCAAGAAGGAGGGGGGACGGGCTGAGGCTTTTCTGTCGGCTGGCCTCGGCAAAGGGAAGATGTCGTCGCTGCGGTACGCCTCGCATCTGTTGCCGCAGGCCACCGACCCGCGGGTGTTTGCCGTGAAGTGTCGGCCGCGCATGGCACGTCTGCTCGTGGCTCGGATTGTAAATAAGTGCTACGCCTACCGGATTGGGAGGAACTACGAAAAGCGGAAGGTTGACCTGGGCATCATATCCGTCTTTTGCCTGGACCACGTGAGGGAGTACATCTACATCGAGGCCCACCGCAAGGTTTTCGTGGAGAACGCCCTAAACGGCTTGGACGGACTGTTTCGCTACAACATTACCCTCGTAAACCCATCTGAGCTGATGCAGATGATGGAGCAGCGGCCGGCTCCGGAGAAGTTGCGGGTGGGCTCCTTTGTTCGCCTGCGGCAACGGCAGTACCGCCTGGATCTGGCGCAGGTGGTTGAGGTGCACCCCGGCAACCAACAAGTCACGGTGAAGGTTGTGCCGCGTGAGGACTTTGTTGGTAAACCGTTTAGCAAAGTCGAAACCCGTCTGCCGCCCCGCTTCTTTGTCCCCACGCTTGCGGCATACGTGCAGGATCGCGGCGATTTCTATCGCTGGGGAGAGTTGACTTTTGACAAGGATGGTTACCTGCTCAAGACCGTCTCTGCCCGCATGGTCATCAGCGGCCCACAAATGGAGAAGCCAACTGTAGAGGAACTCGCCCTCTTTTTCAACAGTGACCGCGAACGCGTACGTGAGGCTGTTGCACGGTTTGCCTCGGAGGTTCAGCAAGGGGCAGGGCTGCGCATCGGCGACACCGTGCGGGTGGTGTCAGGGCAGCTGCGAGAGACTGTGGGCACCATTGAAAATATGTTTTTAGACACCAATACGGTTTCCCTCGCGTGCCGCGTGCCTGGGAGGAAGGAGCCGATAAAGGTGCGTGTTGAGCTGGCGACGTGTGTGAAGCACTTCGCGGTTGGCACGCACGTTGTAGTTAACGGCGGGGAGCGGGCCGGGGAGAGCGGCACGGTGGTGAAGGCCTCCGGAGACGTCGTCTACATTTTCTCCGACAGGGCCACTGCCTCCCGCGAGCTGGCGGTGCGTGCCAGCGACTGCCACCGGAGCAACCTGGTCGGCTCCTTCGGCCACGCCTCCGGCGCGTGGCGGCTGTTCGACTTAGTGATGCTGGCGGACACCTCCTCCGTGGGCTGCATCGTGCGCATCAACCGCAACGACATTTGCGTCCTGACGGACCGCGGCGAGACGCGCTACCTCTCCCCCGTGCAAATCAAGGCCGTCGTCACGGGCTCGCGGCAGACGACGGACCGGCTGAACAACGTCGTCACCCGCGGGTCGGAGGTGAACATACACGCCAGCCCCAACACGCCCTACCACCTGGTCGGGCAGACGGGGCGGGTGGAGCAGCTCTTCGGCTCCGCCCTCTTCGTCCGCGTGCGCACCGTGCAGCAAAACGGGGGGCTGGTAGTGCTGGACGCAAACTCGGTTCTGCTGATCGGCGGGCGCACCACGACGAAGCAGATCCAGCAGCCGAAGCAGCTCCCCGCGGTGCAGCGGAACCCGCACAACGCCACGAAGGGCGACGTGTCTGTGCCCCACCCGCCCCTCGCCTCCGAGGATTGGGCGACGAACTCCGAGTGGTATGAGATGGACACGAACTGAAGCGAGTTAACCACCGGCGCAGGAAAAAGCCGAGGAGAGCAGGCGCGAGAGGGAGACAGAGAACGAAAAAGAAAAGAAAAACGAGGACGAGAAAAGAAAAAGAAGAAAAGAAAGGA